CTCCAGCAAGCCTGCAAAGAATGAGGAAGTACTTCATCAGTGTCACAAATAGATGGTGAAGCAACAGCTCCCCTGGTGGCCAGAATACCCTCATGAAAAAGTTGGAATGTTAAATTGCCTCTGTGTCTGTCTATATATGTTGTGTGTCTATGGCATTGAATGTTTGCCATGTATATGTACTTTGTAATTCATCCTGAGTCCCCTGTGGCGTGAGAAGGGCAGAACAGAAATACTGTAAATATATAAATAAATAAATAGCTGTCTTGCAACTAAAAAGAGACGTTCAGTTATTTAGTTGAACTCTAGCTATGAGGTTGATGTTCAGTACTATAGCTTTTTGGGGTGAGGGCACTTCTATAATGCCAGTAAAGCTTTTCAGTATACTATATTGTTGCCGTGTGCTGACTTATTGCAACTATTGAGTTGAGTTTTTCATAAGGATTTATTGGCAAGATTTGTTCATAGAATCATAGAATCAAAGAGTTGGAAGAGAACTCATGGGCCATCCAGTCCAACCCCCTGCCAAGAAGCAGGAATATTGCATTCAAATCACCCCTGACAGATGGCCATCCAGCCTTTGTTTAAAAGCTTCCAAAGAAGGAGCCTCCACCACACTCCGGGGCAGAGAGTTCCACTTCTGAACAGCTCTCACAGTCAGGAAGTTCTTCCTAATGTTCAGATGGAATCTCCTCTCTTGTAGTTTGAAGCCATTGTTCCACGTCCTAGTTTCCAGGGAAGCAGAAAACAAGCTTGCTCCCTCCTCCCTGCAGCTTCCTCTCACATATTTATACATGGCTAACATATCTCCTCTCAGCCTTCTCTTCTTCAGGCTAAACATGCCCAGCTCCTTAAGCCGCTCCTCATAGGGCTTGTTCTCCAGACCCTTGATCATTTTGATCAAGAGACGTTCAGTTATCTAGTTGAACTCTAGCTATGAGGCTGATGTTCAGTACTATAGCATTTTGGGGTGAGGGCACTTCTATAATCCCAGTAAAGCTTTTCAGTATACTATATTGTTGCTGTGTGCTGACATTGCAACTAATGACTTGAGTTTTTCATAAGGATTTATTGGAAAGATTTGTTCATTGTGGTTTCATCTTTACCATCTTCTGAAGTTGAATGAGTGTGACTTCCCTGGGTTCACCCAGCAATTTCCATGACCAATTAAAGATACAAACCTGCGCTCAAAGCATATTGGGTCTCATTAGAAAATACTAATTGTAAGCACATCTTCTAAGAGAGGACTCGTATGTGGCCAAAAGAGGGCACTAGCCATACACAATAGGGAGTAGCCACTAAAAATGTAAGTAAAAAACAAAATTAAGGGGACTCTTCTATAGCCCTTCTGTAAATGTAGTAGGCTCGGTACATCCAGAGTGTGGCAGAATAGGAAGCATAAAATCTCAGGGCATTGGAAATGAAACATAGCTGGCAGTCTGCAGCCCTGAAGAGGAGCGCTTCACACTCAAGTATTTTATTACAGGTCCCACTTGCAATGGTAAAATGCTGGAATTCATCATGAAATGTAACTATATAAGTGCTGTCATAGTTATTTATTACCCTACTTCTCTTTCAACTCAAAGTGTATCCTAAAGAAAGAAAGAGAAGAGAAACAAGTAGTAATAGTGAGAGTGCTTTCCAAATTTCTTGCAGATTTGCAACTATATACCTACAAAATTTGATTTCAGACATGACTTATGCCTGATACCAAATTCAGGACATTGTTACTCCTATTTGTTTGGTTCGTTCTAGCTCGCCAGTTGATTGTGAAGAAAGGTTTTTCTGTTTGGTCTTGAGCTTGTTTTAACCAAAGCTCAGCATCATGCCCGAATTAAGTCACTGGGTATGTAATGAGAGTTTGAAATCTTAAACGTAAGTAAATAGATATTGGAGACATCTCTTGGGTTTGGTGACCGCTGTCTAAATTCTCTGGAAAGCTAAAGAACACCCTACCCATACTGCTGGCAAATAAAAACAAAGCTGAGCTGGCATTTCTCTAACAGGATTTGTTTTTCTTCCCTGAGCCGGTTTTCCTCTGTTCAGCTTCATGGATGTGAATATTTATATCAAGGTAAATATTTTGCAATTAATCTTGTCAAAGTGTAAACAGAGAAGAAGGCAAGAGTAAATATCATCTGTGAAGTGTTTTCTTCCTCAATCTGTCGGCAATCAAGCTTTCTAGATGCTATTGTTAGACTAAAATTAGACCTTGGATTTGCACATTGGTGATAGGTTTTCCATTACTGTGCGTGCTTTTGATTCTGTAGCTCTAAGCATGCTGAACAGAAGCAGTCATTTAATGGACAAGCTGCAGCACACTATTAGGATATTTGAATTTTCTCGATTAATTAATTGGCCATCATTTCCTAAGGCTCTTTTTATTTTTGGAGTGGACAATAACTTATTGGTGCAATTTTCCCTCTCCAGACTCTCTCAAATTATACACTAATTGGAAAAGAATGAGATTTGCATTTAGTCTAACACATTGAATTTCACAGAGGAAATCAAGAAAACTTCAGTTGTGATGCCCTGTGCTCTGTTAATTTTCTTTGCAATTTTTTCATTTATATTTTGATAATATGGATTTTTATCTTTCCCCTTGCTGGGATATTTATATATTCTACTCCATCAATTGTGGAAAGGGGTTAAAAACTCATTATATCCTTTAAAAAAAGAAAAAGAAAATTATAGCTGAATTTTTAATGCAGTGAGGTAGAAGTAATGTTAACTACATTTAGTCTCGAGGGCTACAGTTTTTTAAAAGTATTACACATTTTGGTTTGCATGCCTGCTCCCAGAATGTTAAGCATCTAAAATCCTCCTAAGCATAATGTTTCAGCATATCTCATGTTCTTTTTCTCAATTTTTGTGTTAGGAGGATCACTTGGGTGCTCAGAATATGAATGGCAACAGCAGGTGCTCCCTGGAGCAGTACACAGAGTTGTGAGATTTCTCTTGGGTCCCAACTCCATATTGGTGTTTGTCTTGAACTTTTTTTTTTGTCGTGTCAGGAGCTTCTGGTGTGAGAGAATTGACCGTCTGCAAGGATGTTGCCCAGGGGACGCCTGGATGATTTTTATCATCCTTGTGGGAGGCTTTTCTCATGTCCCCGCAATAGGGAGCTGGAGCTGTTAGAGGGAGCTCATCCGGATCTCCTTGGATTCGAACCTGCGACCTGTCTGTCTTCAGTCCTGCCGGCACAGGGGTTTAACCCACTGTGCCACCGGGGGCTCCTGTCTTGAACTGGATCAAGGGTGTTGAGTCAAAAAGTAACTGGATTTAAATACTTGGATCTTGTTCACATAAAATAAAAATAGAAGGTTTGGTTAGACCACACCTGGAATATTGTGTCCAATTCTGGGCATCACAATTGAAGAGAGATATTGACAAGCTGGAATGTGTCCAGAGGAGGGCGACAAAATTATCAAGGGTCTGGAGAACAAGCCCTATGAGGAACGGCTTAAGGAGCTGGGCATGTTTAGCCTGAAGAAGAGAAGGCTGAGAGGAGATATGATAGCCATGTATAAATATGTGAGAGGAAGCCACAGGGAGGAGGGAGCAAGTTTGTTTTCTGCTTCCTTGGAGACTAGTACATGGAACAATGGCTTCAAACTACAAAAAAGGAGATTCCATCTGAACATGAGGAAGAATTTCCTGACTGTGAGAGCCGTTCAGCAGTGGAACTCTCTGCCCCGGAGTGTGGTGGAGGCTCCTTCTTTGGAAGCTTTTAAACAGAGGCTGGATGGCCATCTGTCAGGGGTGATTTGAATGCTATATTCCTGCTTCTTGGCAGGGGGTTGGACTGGATGGCCCATAAGGCTCTTTGATTCTATGACTATGATTCTAAGGCTCTGTTGTATGGTAATCTGTTGTATGGTAATCTAGGGGATGATTCTCCTCTCCATTTCTAAGCCAAAGAGCTGATGTTGTCTGTAGCCGCCCCCACATTCATGTGGCCAGCATGACTGCATGGAGCGCTGTTACCTTCCTGCCAAGGTGGTATTTATTTATTTATTATTTACATTTATTTATATCCCACCCATATCAGCCCGCAGGCAACTCAGGGCAGTCTACATATCGGCACAATTTGATGCCATCAATACATACATTCAAAAAGCAAAAACAATTAAGTGCATTTAGACAAAAAAGACAATGCAATAACAGTTTAAAAAGAGCTATATCCTCTCGTTCCAATCCTCATCCGTTTCATCATCTTGACCGTTCCTGGGTCATTCTCCAGCTCAAGCTTGAGTACCTATTGATCTACTCACATTTGCATGTTTTCAAACTACTAGATTGGCAGAATCTGTTTGAGTGAACCTAATAATTGCCATCTTGCCAATAGCTGATATCTCCTCATTATCTTTATTGTTTATGAGCTCTGTTATATGCTAGAAATGTTGTAACTGCGATATTATGTGTCCGGGGCCAACAACTAGAATTCATGGTTACATAACAAATCCTCTTAAACAACAAACAAACTCTAATGACATTCAGTACTGCTCACATAGACCTCAGAGAAGGATTACACTTTGTTGTCTGCATAACTCGGAAGTTCTGTAAGATATTGATGCTTGGAATAAACTTTGTCTATCTTGATCAGTGCGGTGAGTAGGCAGAACTTGAAAGCAGTGCTGCAGTTTTGCAGATCCTTTATCCCAGTGGTTCTCAACCTGTGGGTATCCAGGTGTTTTGGCCTACAACTCCCAGAAATCCCAGCCAGTTTGCCAGCTGTTAGGATTTCTGGGAGTTGAAGGCCAAAAAATCTGGGGACCCCAGGTTGAGAACCACTGCTTTAGCCAAAGTTATTGTCTTCCTGATCAGTTTCAGGGCTCTTTTCAGCTCCGTGTTTCACTTGGAAAATACCGTAGGCCTGATATCCCCAACCTACTCAACATGTAAGGCAATTTACACATAACTTTGAAAGTAAACAAGCCATTATAGTTGTTTGTTGTGGTTTTACCTGCCCACCTTTTAATCCTGTTTTTTTTTCCTTCCAGATTCAAGAGATAATCTGTCTACTCCAGAAGAGATGCCTAGTGTGCCAGAAGCAAAGAAGGAGATCAAAATGTGGTTCAGTCCTCGTAGTAGGAAGATGAGATTTACTTTGGCGAGGAAGCCGCAGAAATCTGAGACAATCATGGAAAAGGCTAGCCAATCTCATGCCTTGACTTCCACATATGATTTCATTTCTTCCCCTCCTTCTCAAGAGACTTCCAAAGCGGTTAAGAAATGTCAACCAAAAAAGAAGAAGCTGAGGAAAAAGACTTTAAAGGATGTCAATCAACAGTGGGGACTGCTTGGAGGAGGAAGGAAGGACTGCTCAAGTGAAACCAGGGAACCCTTAGTGTCATTTTGCAGTCAAACTATGGTTATCCCGAGTCCAGACTCTAAAGGCACATCTGAGCAAAGGCCTGTAATGGCTGAGAGTGAGGGTGAACTTGGCACAGGTGGTAGTACATCTGTGATAACTACACCAAAGAGGGACAAAAATAAGTTGTCTGGTATGGGTGATTCCACTGAAGAGTTCTTGACTTCAAAGGAGTGTCTCTCTTCTGGAAACAGTGCAACTAAACGTGGCAGACAACTGATGGCATCTCCTACTCCTTTACCTAAACGTCACAGAAAAAAGGAGAACATTTCTGGAAGATCACCTTCATTGAAAGAGTTGCCAGGGCCATCACCCCAAAATCTCAGGGGTAAAACCTCTCCCACTTTTGATTCTGTAAGATCTTCTCAACTGAGTGTCACACCAACATCGAGATACTCTGAAGACTTTCAACATGCAAGTGGTGAAACATTTCCAGGAACACCATTGAAGTCTAGTAATGCTGCTCAAAAAGGGACACAGCAAACAGAGCCTTTATGTAAGAAATCTCCTCGTAACTTGTCTTTGAAAAGAAATCATAAAGGGGAAACGCTGCTCCACGTCGCTTCCATTGAGGTAAGGCAAACTATGTTTCATTCAAGAGAGCAGAGATCTCTGGAATATGAATACTTTTGCCTTTCAGAAGATTTAGAGTTGAGCAACAGCTCTTAGTGTCTGAATCCATGTACAGAGGTTTGAGGAGCATCATACTCATTTCTAGAAGTAGGGAAATGCTTGTTGTAAGCAATGTACCATTATGTAGTTTAAATACCCAAAGATGAAGTCTGTGTAGGCTGAGCAGCCTTTATCTGGAATTCCAAAATCTGAAATATTTCAAAACTTAAATTATCTACGTGGGCTGCTGAGATTTGTACACAAACTGTTAATACACAAAATTATTATAATACTAGCCGTCCCCTGCCACGCGTTGCTGTGGCCCACTCTGGTGATCTGGAAAATAATGAGAAATTTCTTTATGCTTGTGGGTAAACAGTGTTTCTTGCTGTTTCTTTATCAGTGTTGATGTCATGATTGTCTGGTTTGCCTACTCTGGAACATGCAACATATAATTGTCCTTCTTTAGGGGTCCCTTTCAAATCTATGATACTATATCTCTCTGTGTGTGAATCATATATATCGATCTATATCTATGGCTGGATGGCTCTTTGTCAGGAGGTCTTTGATTAAGTTTTCTTGCCCTGGTGAAGGGAGTTGGACTGGGTGACCTTAAGTATTTTCTATTGGTCATGGGGGTTCTGTGTGGGAAGTTTGGCCCAATTCTGTCGTTGGTGGGGGTCAGAATGCTATTTGATTGTAGGTGAACTATAAATCCCAGTAACTACAACTCCCAAATGTCAAGGTCTATTTGCCTCAAACTCCATTTGTGTGCATATTTGGGCATATTGAGTGTTCGTGCCAAGTTTGGTCCAGATCCATCATTGATTGAGTCCACAGTGCTCTCTGGATGTAGGTGAACTACAACTCCAAAACTCAAGGTCAGTGCCCACCAAACTCTTCCAGTATTTTCTGTTGGGCATGGGAGTCCTGTGTGCCAAGTCTGGTTCAATTCCATCGTTGGTGGGGTTCAGAATGCTCTTTGATTGTAGGTGAACTATAAATCCCAGCAAGTACAACTCCCAAATGTCAAGGTCTGTTTTCCTCAAACTCCACCTGTGTTCATATTTGGGCGTATTGAGTATTTGTGCCAAGTCTGGTCCAGATCTATCATTGTTTGAGTCCGCAGTGCTCTCTAGATGTAGGTGAACTACAACTCCAAAACTCAAGGTCAATGCCCACTAAACTCTTCCAATATTCTCTGTTTGTCATGGGAGTTCTGTGTGCCAAGATTGGTTCAATTCCATTATTGGTGGAGTTCAGAATGCTCTTTGATTGTAGGTGAACTATAAATCTGAGCAACTACAACTCCCAAATGACAAAATCATTTTTTTAGTGGACATACATTGGGTTTTTAGGTGTCTTGTGTCCAAATTTGGTGTCAATTCCCCCAGTGGTTTTTGAGTTATGTTAATCCTACAAACGAACATTACATTTTTATTTATATAGATTGTATATAAAATTACCATCAGGCTATGGGTATAAAGTATATGTGAAACATAAATGGGCCCCATCTCAAATGTATCTCATTAGGTACATGTATGCCAGTACAAAAATCTAAAATCCAAAAAACTTCTCAAGCATAAGGGATACTCAGGGATACACAACCTGTATGCCACAGCTTGGAAATATCTCATTATAAACAGTATGTTCCTTCTAGTTTATTTTTTTCTTTGCAACAGTCTTAGCATTTGGGTTGTTTTCTGATGCAACTGTAACTGAATAAAAAGGGTGGTTTTATTGTTAATTTGATAGTTAGAAAGTGTTTGGCATCAAAATGTAGGTGTATTTTGTTACGCAGCAATGTTTTGTCCAGTGTCCCAGCGCCCAAAGTCCAAATGCAAAAGACTCACAGACTGGAGTAAACGTGAACAGAAAAATCTTTACTCAGCAGAGATGAAAACATAAACTGGCAATGTTGCACACAAAAACAAGCAGTGCAGAAAACTTACACAGTCTTTGTAAGTAACACAAAATAAAGCATTTTCACCTTACAGTAAACCTTGAAGTTTTTTTGTGTGTGTGTGTGTGTGTGTGTGTGTGTGTCAGGAGCAACTTGAGAAACTGCAAGTCGCTTCTGGTGTGAGAGAATTAGCCATCTGCAATTATGTTGCCCAGGGGACATCCGGATGATTTGATGTTTTATCATCCTTGTGGGAGGCTTCTCTCATGTCTCCGCATGAGGAGCTGGAGCTGATAGAGGGAGCTCATCCGCCTCTCCCCGGATTCGAACCTGCGACCTGTCGGTCTTCAGTCCTGCCGGCACAGGGGTTTAACCCACTGCGCCACCGGGGGCTCCTTGAAGTAAATAGCTATTTCACCATAGCCTCCTTCAGAGTAGCTTCTCCAAACTGCTCCCCAGAGCAAAGCCTTGTAGCATAGGTCTCCTCAGCGAAAAGGCTCTCCAGAAGCTCTCCTTCAGGATCTCTCCATCAGCATCTCTTGCTGGAGTTCCATGTTGGTACTCCAGGATGTATTCAAGAAAAATCAAACGGATATAGCCCCTTGGGCCACACTCAAGCTTGCTGGTTGACCTACATTTCCAGCTGTATATGACAATTAAACACAATAAGGTTTTTCCTTCAACACACATATACTTGGTCCTGCAGGGACTTATCGTAACATATTTTGTTCCTCAGGACAGCAATTTCTGACATTACTTTTTAAAAAATATATAAGATAGGGCGTAAATACTATAACAACACCATGTCCAATCTGATCTTGGAACCTAAGCAGGGTCTTTCCTGGTTAGTATTTGAATATGAGGCCACTATATTCCAGTTTATTTATTTTTTATTTATCGTGTCAGGAGCAACCAGACATTTGTATTACATTTTTAACAAAACAAACAGACAAAACAAAAAGTTTGCAAGCTTGGTAGTTGATTAAATGTCCTTTGAACAGTATCTGGCCACTTGGAGTGCCTCTGGTGTTGCCGCAAGAAGGTCCTCCATTGTGCATGTGGCAGGGCTCAGGTTGCATTGCAGCAGGTGGTCTGTGGTTTGCTCTTCTCCGCACTTGCATGTTGTGGATTCCACTTTGTAGCCCCATTTCTTAAGATTGGCTCTGCATCTCGTGGTGCCAGAGCGCAGTCTGTTCAGCGCCTTCCAAGTCTCCCAGTTTTCTGTGTGCCCAGGAGGGAGTCTCTCATCTAGTATCACCCACGGATTGAGGTTCTGGGTTTGAGCCTGCCACTTTTGGACTCTCACTTGCTGGAGTGTTCCAGCGAGTGTCTCTGTAGATCTTAGAAAACTATTTCTTGATTTAAATCGTTGACATGCTGGCTGATACCCAAACAAGGGATGAGTTGGAGATGTCACTGTCTTGGTCCTTTCACTATTGGCTGCTACTTCCCGGCGGATGTCAGGTGGTGCAATACCAGCTAAGCAGTGTCATTTCTTCAGTGGTGTAGGACGCAGACACCCCGTGATAATGCAGCATGTCTCATTAAGAGCCACATCTACTGTTTTAGCGTGGTGAGATGTGTTCCACACTGGGCATGCATACTCAGCAGCAGAGTAGCACAGCGCAAGGGCAGATGTCTTCACTGTGTCTGGTTGTGATCCCCAAGTTGTTCCAGTCAGCTTTCGTATGATATTGTTTCTAGCACCCACCTTTTGCTTGAACTATATTCCATTGAAAGAGTGACAGATCTACCCCTGAATATTACATTCTTTAGAAAAGCCCTATGAAACTCATGGAGTCATCATAAACCAATAGGCTGTTTGAAGATATGTATAGGCAGCCCCCAAGTTATCAACAAGATAGGTTTGTAGGTTTGTTCTTAAGTTGAATTTGTATGTAAGTCAGAACGGGTACATTTTTAAGTTTTTGTGTATGTACGCACACACACACACATGCCTGTTTTGGATAACAAAGTGAAGAATTAACACCCTTGTGGTGTTTGTTTTGCTATATGTGTCCCTGTTCTGAATATTTCACTTCACTTTCTGTCTCTGTGTTAATTGGATTTTGAAAAAATTGGCTTCTTGTGGAAACAAGAATTGGAGATAAAGTTTCAGTGGATACACCTTTTCCCCATGATAATTGGATTTCCCTTCCAAGGAGTAGATTTCTCTCACTTCTTGTTGTCTCTTCTCCATTCTTAACTATGAGTCATTTGTAAGTCAGGTGTTTTAAACCTGGGAGCTGCCTGTACATCTCTGCCTTCCCTCCTAGATTTGTGTCAAAGAAAATAATCAACAAAGCAAAATAGTTCTTATATTGTCGAAGGCTTTCATGGCCGGAATCACTGGGTTGTTTTAGGTTTTTCCGGGCTGTATGGCCATGTTCTAGAGGCATTTTCTCCTGATGTTTCGCCTGCATCTGTGGCAAGCATCCTCAGAGGTAGTGAGGTCTGTTGGAACTAGGAAAATGGGTGGGACAAAGGACTTTTGTCTGCTGGAGCTGGGTGTGAATGTTTCAACTGACCACCATGATTAGCATTTAATGGCTTGGAAGTGCTTGGGGGGAATCTTTTGTTGGGAGTGATTTGATGTGCCTGATTGTTTACTCTCTGTTGTTGTGCTGTTGTAATTTTTGAGTTTTTTAATACTGGTAGCCAAATTTTGTTCATTTTCATGGTTTCCTCCTTTCTGTTGAAATTGTCCACATGCTTGTGGATTTCAGTGGCTTCTCTATGTAGTCTGACATGGTGGTTGTGAGAGGGTCCAACATTTCTGTGTTCTCAAATAATATGCTGTGTCCAGGTTGGTTCATCAGGTGCTCTGCTATGGCTGACTTCTCTGGTTGAAGTAGTCTGCAGTGCCTTTCATGTTCCTTGATTCTTGCCATAGATGCAGGCGAAACGTCAGGAGAAAATGCCTCTAGAACATGGCCATATAGCCCGGAAAAACCTAAAACAACCCAGTGGTTCTTATAGTTATCTGAAGCTATTGGGTACTTAGCCCAAATAACTAAATCATATTTACATGATCATGGCTCAATACATAAATGCTTTT